CCACATCCCCAGCCCAGGATTTAATTCTTTTTATAAATGAAAATTCCCATTCCTTAATAAGGAATAATAAGAATTATTTATATTTAAATAGTAATTATTTCTTGTTTACTTGGTTATTCCAAAATTGATGGGACAGGAGTGGGGTTGTAACTCAGCGGTAGAACATGTGCTTAGTTAGGCCCTGGGTTTGATCCCCAGTACCATACAAAAAAAAAATAAAATAAAATGCTGGGACAAGATGGGGAATAACATTGTTGATTGGGATAAAGAGAAGATTGACATGAAAGGGTGAAAACTAAAAACCAGAAATGGGTTTATTTATGGTAGCCGTGGAAGTTTTAGAAATAGACCCACATTTTCAGAATTATGTATGATATGACTAGAAAATGATAGAAGTAGAGTGCATGGTATATTTGAACTTATTTTAAACATGTAATTTGGAATTGGGCTCAATGGTACACACCTGTAATCCCAGTGGCCCAGGAGGCTGAAGCAGGATTGAGTATAAATAAAAGCAAAAAGAGAGAAGCAAGCAAGGTACAGGGGCAAAGTAAAAGGGGCTGCTTGTCTGAGCTGCCAGCTTTATTTATATCCATGTGTTACATTAGGTCATTGGCATCATTAGGACATATTGCTTATTGTATAAAGTTACTATTATGTGGGCAGGTTTAGGCATAGTGACACATTGGTGTTATTTAAGAGAGTTCCTTTATTCCCAGAAGCTGAGTGTCTGAGATCAAGGTTGAGGTTGATAAGAGTCTAGAACAGAGCCTCTTCACAAAGGACATTACCATAGCATCTAGGCATTGGGCATGTATTAGTCATTTTACTAGATCCAGGGAGAAATTGCAGAATAGTCCAAGTGTGGAAAACAGGGTACCTGTTACCCTCTAGGAGTTTGCATACCAGAGGAATGCTGCCTTGTACATTTCCATAGCCAGAAACTTACACCAAGTTCAAAGTCAGTTTCAGCAACTTAGTGAGGCCCTAAGCAACTTAGCGAGATCCTATCTCTAAATAAAATATAAAAAAGGGCTGAGGGGGGCTGGGATTGTAGTTCAGTGGTAGAGTACTTGATTGGCATGTGCTGGGTTCAATTCTCAGCACTGCATGTAAATAAAAAGAAAATAAATAAAAGGGATGGGGATGTTGCTCAGTGATTAAGTGCCCCTGGGTTCAATCCCTCGTACAAAAAACCAAAAAACAGTAATTTGATACATTGTTATTTAAAAAAAATTTTTTTTCTAATTATACATGGACACCATGCCTTTATTAAACCCAGTGCTTCACATGCTAGGCAAACTTTACATGCTAGGCAAGCACTCTACCTCTGCCCTACAACCCTAGCCCTGATACATTGTTATTAAGAGTGAATAAAACAATTTATTTAGAATTGGCAGCAAAATAATATAATTATTTGTGAGATACACTTTGGCTGATTTATTGAGTTTTATTTTGATGTTAAACTCTTTTCTGTGTGTAGAACATTGGATCAGAAGTTGAGCATTACACTATTGAGAAACAACGGAAGGAGCTACAGGTGCTCATTGGAGAATTGAAAGATCGAGATAAAGAACTCAATGATATGGTTGCTGTGCATCAACGACAACTTCTTTCATGGGAAGAGGATCGGCAGAAAGTTTTGACTTTGGAGGAGCGTTGCAGCAAATTAGAAGGTCAGAAATGCATTCAGCAGCCTGAATAGTGCAGTCCTGTGTGCCACATGATGAAAGGACTTATAGGGAAGAGAGAGAAGAAATAACACAATTCCTGCTGTCCTGGAGTTCAGTACTTAACTAAGGGAAAGGTGCTGGGAAACTCTAGTTAATATAGAGTGAGAGTCAGGGGTGTATCTGAAGAAATTTTGAACAAAAATAAGAATAAAGATGTCCTATGAGAAGCCATTTCGTGTGTACTTAAAGATTTTAAACTTTTGGTATTGAACTTGATTCTAAGGTTCTAAAATGGTCATCTTTTTAAACTATCATGTTCTCAAAAATAGCTTATAGTGGGCCTGTCGCATACCTATATCCCAGTGACTTGGGAAACTGAGGCAGGAGGATGGCAAGTTCCAGGCCAGCCTCAATAACTTAGCAAGACCTGTCTCAAAATAAGAAACAAAAAGGGTGGCATGTGACTCAGTGGTAGAGTACCACAAAGAGGTTTCTATAAACATGACAGTCTAAATATGTACCATTTTTTCATTGATGACAATCTGATTTTACCCTGGCCATACCCACACTTGCACACATACAGTGTTTAAAATGATTGTTCAGCTGGGCACAGTAGCACATGCCTGTAATCCCGCTTACTTGGAAGACTGAGGTAGGAAAACCATGAGTTCTAGGCCTGTCTGGGCAACTTAGTAAGATCCTGTCTCAAAAAAAAAATCATTTTTTAAAGATTTGGAATATAGCTCAGAAGTAAGATACTCCTGGGTTCAATCCCCAGTACTTAATAAATAGATAAATAAAATGATTGCTCAAAAAATAAACATGAGGCTGGGGTTGTGGCTCAGCCGTAGATCACTCACGTAGCCCGTGTGAGGCCCTGGGTTCCATCCTCAGCACCACATATAAATAAATAAATAAATAAATGTAAAAAAGAAAAAATAAACATAAAAGGAAAAAGATTGCTCATTAAATGTAGTATAATCTATCTCTTATATAAATGTGGTAAAAAACAAAAATAACCTATATGACAAAGATAATCTATAGCCATCAGTATATGTTAAAATGAGACTTAAATAGGCATTTCTCATTCTCATTAGTAATTAGGGAAATGCAAATTCAAATTCAGACAATAATGAGCTGCCTTTTTACATTCACCAGACTGGTAAAAATTGTCAGGTGTTGGTAAGATATGGAGCCAAGTCCACAGCCGTCCCACCTGAAATACACTTGTTTTTTCTGATTTTAGAAGCACAGGAGAGTCTGGCCTGGTTAGTACCTGGGAAGATTGGAGCCAAGGGAAGGCTCATGCACTGCTGGGGGGAACTCAGCACAACTACTTGGGGAAATCATTTTACAGTATCTAGTAAAACTAGAGACAAATAACATTTCTTATAAGAAATTTTCCAGCAATTGGAACATGTTCCAGCAGTGATTCAGCATTTCCACTTTTAATGAATTGTGAATTGATAGCAGACCTAATATGTAGGTAGACTCTGGGCTAGGGTGTGTCTCAGTGGTAGAAAGTATACTTACCATGTTCAAGGCCCTGAGTTCAATCCCTAGTACACATACATAAAAAGTAGATTCTGATAATAGTAGGTCTGGGGCCCAAGAGTCTATTTCTAACAAAGTCCCAGGTGATGTCAGAGCTACAGGTTCAAGGACCACATTTTGGATAGCAAGACTCTAGAGAAATTCTTGCAAATATGCACCAAGATGCATGTTAAAGAAAATACAGAGCAGCATTGTTTAAAATAGCTGCAAAGTGCTCTCTGTCCTCTTCCTCTTCTTTCTTTCCTCTCTGCTGCTCTCTTTCTCTGCTCTCTGCCTCTCCTTTTCTTCCTCTTCAGGCAACCCCCACTCTTGATTGGAAAAAAAAATAGCTGCAAAGTAAAAGTAAATAAATTTTGGTGTAATAATTTAGTGGATTATTATGTAGCTTAGTGACAGACATGAGCTATATAAATGTGAATAATCTCAGGATCATAATCTTAAGTGAAAGAAGCAAATAGAATTCACACAGTTTAATTCAAATTAAACTATAGTATTATAGTTTGAAAATGTTTTAAAAGAATTATCTTCTAAAAATGTCTTAGTTCAAATTAAACTATAGTATTTATACACTTAAAATTAAACTATATACAATATTATATATGGATCTTTTTTTTTTTCAGTATTGGGGATATAATCCATGGCCTTGTGTGTGCTAGACAAATACTCTACCACTGAGCTTTTTTCCCAGCCCAGATAAAACTGTATTTTTAAGGGATGCAAAGAAATGGAGCCAAACAAAATGGTGCATGTCTGTAATCCTAAGGACTTAGGAGGCTGAGGCAGGAGGATTGCAAATTTGAGATTGCTTGAGCAGTGAAGACCTTGTCTCAAAATAAAAA